TGGAAATTGTAGTTTAGAGGTGCCAAAAGAGATACACGGCGAGATAGCATTTTCCCAACACAGCAGCTCATGCTTGTGGATTAAAAAATGGAGAAAGTGGCACAAGTAGGCCTCTTGCACACGGGCACTTGCACGCCTATGTGCATGGGGGGCAAAAACTGTGTGTAAAGACCTGAGTAATATTGAGAATAGGTGAGTAAAGGTGTATAAGGGTGAGCCTTATGTGCTGACATCAAGCCACCGCGGCCGGAGTTCAGAGCGGTGGCCATCTTGGTATGCTTTTATGCATTTAACTTTTTGCTGTATCCACGTGGATTACTTTTAACTATTTACAAAAAATACTACACTATATTGTCATACCTTCTGCTCCTGTGGTGAGCTTCTCCCCCTAGGAGGATCCTTTGCTGGTTTTGCATAGCCCTGACCCTGGAGAAGTCCGGTCCCTATTTATGGCTTCCTGAGACCCCCCAGAAGTAGCGTTCTGGTGAGTGCACATCCATATAAGGTGGTGGATTCCTATGTTGGATCATGAGCACTCTCGAGCATCCCAGCTGGTATTGCTGCACCTTGTAGTTCCACGATCACCGAGCATTGCTGTGACATGTAGTGCCACGGACTATGTATAATCACCATTATTGCTAAAAAGCACACACGTATCACTCGGCACTTCTGTGACCTGTAGTGCCACGGACTATTTATATTCACTATTTAAGTTCAGATTTTGAGTTTTTTATGATTCTATGATTTTATATGATCTGAGACGTTTTTATTGTATGAACACTTCTATTCACATAAACACTCTATGATTGCATTTGTCACTTATGCTTTAGCGCTGCACTTACACTTGAATTGTATAAGTGTATAGATGAGCACAATTCTTCTTCATTGCCAGTATTGTAATATACTCACTTATACTCACGTAAGGGAGTAAAAATAAAGTAAGTAAATTACTGCATTCAAATGAAAAAAATGTCTATTTTAGTTTTACTGGTCTGCACTCAACGCTGTATTACTGATCTTTACTCAGCTGTGTGCAATGTCCTACAACAATGCATCTAATTTCAGATCAGTAAAAAACTCTGCATTTTTTACTCCCGTGTGCAACGGGGTAAGGGGCTTTTCTATACATTAATGTATTCCGGATGCCTGATTTGTTACTTGTACCACATCCCTGATAACTTAAGTAACCATATAATTGTAAGGGAATCCCGGTGAGACTGGCGAATAGAAGTGCGCATGCGCACATAAATGCGTGATCATGCACACGCACGGTGAAGATTGGCACCAGATGGACTATTTAAAAGGTGCCTCTTCCTGTGCTGAGTGCTGACTGGTCTTCAGCTGTTCCCTGTTTCCTGCTCGTTCCTGTGTGATTTCCTTGTTGCTGACCTGGCTTGTTCCTGACCTGACTCTTGATTACTCTCCTGCTTGATACTTGTTCCTGACTTCGGCTCTGCTCCTGACTCTGGCTTGCTTAAGATTTGGTACCTCGCTGTCCGCCCGTTGATGACCCCAGCTATTCCTATGATAATGTTCCTGTCTCCCATCCCAGCTTCCTGCCTTGCTCTGGTGCACACCTGGCAATCTACCATACCAGCTCTGCATATCACTACTGTTCCTGAATCGGAGGTTCATCAGTCTTCCAAAGTCTCCAGCTTCAGGAGCTGCAAACAACATCTGCTGGCGCTCTTGTACCCCTGGTCCCTAGACACCCTCTGTTCCACTTCCAGTGGGGTCAGGGCTAGTGACACAAGTGAGGCCGACCTCGTCATTTCAGTCTGCAATCAGGTACGTGACAATAATAGTGGAGATTACTCTGTGTGCTTTTTAAACTACAGGGGGTCATCTGTTTTAGCATCCACTGAAAGAGGGGAAATCTAGAGGAATCTTGACATGTTTCATGAACTAAGTTCACTTCTTCAGGAGAACAAAAGGCAGACATACAATGGGTTCAGAAAAGAATCCCCCCCTTAATATAGTTACACAGTTAGTCTGGCTGAAAAAAGACAAAAGTCCATCCAGTTCAACCATAAAAAAAAAAAAAAAAAAAAATTTATAATCCTACACCCACAGCTGATCCAGAGGAAGGCAACAAAAAACCAGCAAAGCATGATCCAATTTGCTCCTGCAGGGAAAAAAATTCCTTCTTGATCCCCCGAGAGGCAATTGAATATTCCCTGGATTAACTTTACCTATAAATATTAGTATCCAGTTATATTCTGTGTATCTAAGAAAGAATCCAGGACTTTTTTAAAGCAATCCACTGAGCTGGCCAGATCCAACTCTTATGGGAGTCTATTCCACATTTTCACAGCTCTTACTGTGAAGAAACCTTTCCGTGTTTGGAGATTAAATTTATTTTCCTCCAGACATAATATAATACATTTTGTTGCTTTGCAGCCTGAAATTAAGACAGGCGCAATTTTGTTTTATCCAGCTGTATTTACTCAGTGCAGCCTGTGATATCCAACATGTCAGGAAAAAAAAACATATTCACTGAGTTGGAAAAAGGATCACTCCTTATGTCAAAATTTTGTTGAACCGCCTTTTTCTTTAATTACAGCATCTAGTCTGTAGGGGTATGTCTCTAATAACTTTGAACATCTACATTTTGCAATATATGCCCACTCTTCTTTGCAGAACTGCTCAAGTTCAGTTAAATTTGATGGTGACTGTTTGTGGACTTCAGTCTTCAAGTCATTCCACAGATTTTCAGTGGGGTTTAAGTGACAATAATGATGAAATTAGAATTAAAAAAAAAAGGAGGGGGAGCTGCGGTCTGCCCTCAGTAGCTGCTGGAGCTTGTGAGTAGCAGCAGCTTATGTAGGGGGTGTTCTTTGCATCCTCATGCAGTAGGGTTGCCATCTCATCCCTTTAAAACTGAACACAAATTAATGACACAGGTTCTGGGGCTAATTTAATGCAGATAAGGCACTTAATTTGATTACCACCTTAATCAGTCACAGAACCTGCACAATTAATGTGTTCGGTTTTAAAGGGATGAGATGGCAACCCTATCATGCAGGCAGTCTTATTCATGTTAGTTGGGATGCAGTGGCTGCACAGACACAACCACTGATCCCAACATGACTGCCATGTAGGTGCGGGTCCCTGAACACACCCACAAAGATGTCAAATTGGGAGCAGCAGCTGTGTCCATGCAGCCTCTGCATCCTAATTAACATGAATGGGACTGCTTGCATGGGGATGCACAGAACTAGGGTTGCCACCTCATCTCCTTAAAACAGAACACATATTAATTACACAGGTTCTGAGGCTAATTTAATGCAGATAAGGAATCAAGTGAGTTTAATTAACACCATAATCAGCCACAGAACCTGTGTCATTTACCACATGCCGCCCAGCCACTGGGCAAAAGCACGTTTTAAAACGTGTGTTTTGAAAACAGGTAGGGGGCACGCGCGAGGCGTGCCGCCGCCCTACCTGTCCCGGCGATCACAGCCGCGGATGTCAGTCGCCGGGTCACAGCTGGTCGTTACCGGCTACATCCCGGCAATCGGCGGCAATCGCTGACAGAGAGCACAGCTGCAGTAGCTGTGCTTTCTGTCAGTTCCCTGACAGCTCCAGGACACGCTGATCGGGACAGAAGAGTTTCTCTCTCCCGATCAGTGGTGTTCCCTGCAGTACACACCCCCGCCCCCTAGTAAAACACTCCCCTCACACAGTTAACCCTTTCCCTGAATAATAAACTTAACCCCTTCCTCCCCAGTGCCATTAGTACAGTGTCAGTGTTTTTTTTTTTTGGCACTGATCACTGTATTGGTGTCACTGGGGATGTCAGTGACCAAGTCAGTACCAGTACCCCCCAATGTCAGAATGTCCACCTCAGTCCCGCAGTCCCGCCATAAGTCGCTGGTCGCCGCCATAAGTCGCTGAGCGCCGCCATTATTAGTATAAAAAAAAACCTAAAAATCCCGCCATTTGTAAATGCTATAACTTTCACGTAAACCAATTAATTTACACGTATTGGGTTTTTTTTTTTTAGCAAAGAATGCATTTTGGCAGAAATTTATGACTAAATTTGATTTTTAAATTTTTTTTTTACTGGACATGTTTTATAGCAAAAAGTCCAAAATATTGTTTTTTTTTTCCTCACAATTGTCAACCTTTTTTTTTTTTATAGCGCAAAAAATAAAAACCGCACAGGCGATCAAATACCACCGAATGAAAGCTCAATTTGTGCGGAAAAAAAGAATGTAAATTTCATTTATGTACCATATTGCATGACCGCGCAATTGTCCGTTAAACTAGCGCAGCGCTGTATAGCAGAAAAATGGCGTAAATTGCAGTATCTATACCATAGTTTTGTAGACGCTATAACTTTCACACAAAGCAATTAATATACACTTATTGGGATTTTTTTTTTTACCAAAAACATGTAGCAGGATACATTTTGGCCTAAATTTATAACCAACTTTGAGTTTACTATATATTTTTTTTATAGTGAAAGTAAAAAAAAAACTTTTTTTTCAAAATGTTTGGCCTTTTTTTGTTTATAGCGTGAAAAATAAAAAGCGCACAGGTCATCAAATACCACCGAAAGAAAGCTCTATTCATGTGAAAAAAAGGATGTAAATTTTGTTTGGGTGCAGCATTGCATGACCGCGCAATTATCAGTTGAATTAGTGCAGCGCCGAGTAGCAAAAAGAGGCCTGGTCATTAAGGGGGGTAAATCCTCAGGAGCTCAAGTGGTTAATATGTGCTCAGTTTTAAGGCTAGGTTCACATATGTGCGGGTGGTGCGGCTGCGGATCCGCATGAAAGTCCGTGCAGCCACAACCAGGGGCGGACTGACCATTTGGAAACTCGGGCTCTGCCCGAGGGCCCGGGGTCAGTAGGGGGCCCCTTGAGATGCCCCTGGTACCTTTTTCATAGGCTTTTTTGAGTTTGGGCAAGGACACAGGGGCCCCATGATCCCCTATTGCCTGGGGGCCCCATGAGATGTCAGTCCGCCCCTGGCCACACCACCCATACAGAGGAATGCGGACCCGCAGGCGGGTGCCATTAGTTCTAATGGCACGCCGCCCACACTGGAAAACGCAACTGTACTGGAAACCGAGGTTCCAGTGTGGGCTGCATATTCAGAAGAAGTGCAGGGACTTCTTTCCTGCGTGTCACAGGGCACAAGAGTACATTCAAATGAATGCGCTCTCGTGCCCATACAAAACGCGGGCCCGCACGGTCGAATATATGTGAACCAGGGGTAAAGGAATAAGGTGACAACATAGAACACCTGAACATCCTCGTGTTGACAAATGCAGCTCTTGTTCACACATTAAAGGAGGCCTAGCTACCTGTACTTTGACACTGATCTGCCGCATAAACGCATGTGTTTTTACCGCGCTTTTGCCGTGCTTTCTGAGTGTTTTTAAAGGACACATGACTTAAAAACTGCGCCAAAACGCTTCTCAGATGCATTTTTAGGCGCTTTTCATGCGTTTTCCATTGATTTCAATGGGAAGAGGCGTTGTTGGGGCATTTTGTTTTAACTCCCCAAAAAAGCCCCAAAGATGCTGCAAGCGGGAGTTTTTACAACGCAAGCGCAATGCCTCAGTGTAAATACAAACATAGATATACATTTACATACATAGGGAAGCGTTTTTCTTGAGCTTTTCAGGTGCTTTTTTTTAACACAAAAACTCTTTAAAAACTCCTCCATGCGAAAGTAGCCTAAAAAAAAAATCCTGACCGCTTCCACACAACCAATATTTCTATTCTACTACTCCTATGTAACATTAGAATGTGGAAGCCTCTGGTACATACACTCCCTTCACAAAGACAGACTTTGCTATTAATATCCATATTAGGTTGAAGTCTTCTAACCTTTCTCACCTGAATCCTTGTGTCATATGCACACAAATACTTGTCCCCACACAATAGATGTGCTAGACAGTACATAATAACAGCAAAATAACTGACATTTCAGCGGTGAGTCACTCGTTTAATGAAGATGAGCAATGAAGTCTGGGAATATCTCAACCTTTCTGCTTTTCTTTACTCATTGTGCATGCATTTATTTATGCCATAAATGAAGGAATAATGCTGGTGTGCTTGAAAGGCAGAAGACAGTCATTAAGACTGGGCGTTAATCCCTTGCGCATGAGATCCTGGCGTTTTCATGCAGGCATAAAGCACAGGTGCAACATCTAACCCTACTGCTTGCTAGCAGCTGGGAAAACTCTATAACTCTAGGTTCATTCCTATGCAGGATGCATTTGAGGTGTTTCTGCATTGTGTTTTGCGTTTTTGCACTTGCGTTTTTGATGCGCTTTTCAGGGGTTTTTTTTTTTTTTTTTTTTTTTCCCTTGTTGCTAGGCAGATTTTAAACACAAAATGCAGCAAAACCACAATACATGCTTTTCTGCAGCCTTTTTATTGAGTCTATAGAACCAAAAATGCAACATTTTGCATTACAAAAAGTCCCTGACCCTTTCCAAAAAATGCACCAGGTGAAAACGTGGAGATGTGAACCTGTCCCATAGGAAATCATGTTAAATGGACTGTTTTGCATTTCTGTAAAACACTGCGGAAAACGATTATGTGTGAACCTAGGGTAAGGCTAGGTTCACACCTATGCAGTTTGCGTTTAATCCGTTTCTGCAGTTTTGCGTTTTTGCACATGTGTTTTTGACACATTTTTGCAGCCTTTTTTGATGCGTTTTGTGTTTTTTTTTTCTCTCTCTTCTTGCTAGGCAGATTTAAACTGCAAAACGCATTAAAAACCGCACTACATGCTTTTTCTCACAACTTTTTGTGTTTAAAAAATTCCCTGCCCCTTTCCAAAAAACGCACCGGGTGAAAACGCTGAGATGTGAACGTGTCCCATAGGAATTCATGTTAAATGGACTGTAGTGCCTTTCTGCAAAACGCTGCGGAAAACGCTTAGGTGTGAACCTAGGGTAATGCAGGCCATAATCGGTTCGTTTATCGGCCAATTTTTCATTCGAAAGAATAATCGGCCGATTTTCGCACTGTTAGTGGGGCAATGGCATCAGCTGATTTTCACGGTTCCTCCTCATTTCTTTTATCGGTCATGCTGGAAAATTTGCGAAAAACAGCCGATTTTTTCAATCATTGGTGGCAACAGAACGACCGATGTTTCGTTTTTCGGACGAACCGTCTATGGCCTGCATAAGAGGCTGAATGCTACTACAGATGGAGGGGGCTAATCAATGCACTGAGTGGTACCAACGTTTAGGGCAGTATGCTTCCTGGGATAACGGCAGAGAGGCTGGACAGTATACCTTTCGCCCGCCCAAATATACAAAGATTTTATGCACAGGGGCTAAACTCCCAGTATGCATAAAGACTTAAAGGATAAGTTCATCTTTTGACAAAAAAATAATAAATGCACTTTGTATGCAGATAAAAGAAATGTGCATTTATTATTTTTTGTTCCTGGAGCCTGTAAAGCATTGCACCAGCATGGCCGGTGCCATACAGGTCTCCTGCAGACCTGTCAGTATATCTGTTTATAGATCCTAACTCATTCAAACCAGAGACCATCCAGATTTTTACTAGCAACTGTAATACCTAATAAAACCCCTGAAGTGTGTTGACTTATCCTTTAGATGTTTTATGATTACATAAACTCTTTATGTGTGGTGATTTACTATAACTGGAGAGTGCAACATCTGGTGCATCTGGGCAGAGAAACCAATCAGCTTCTGGGTTTTTTTTTGTCAAAGCTTAATTGAACAAGCTGAAATTAAAAGCTGATTGGCTGCCATACACAGCTGCACCAGATTTTGCACTCTCCAGTTTTGAAAAATGAACCCCAGGTCTCTCATCACAAATGCCTAGTACTTGTGATGGAGAGAAAATCGGATGAAAAATATCGAAGCGATCATCTGATAATCTGATTGTTAGTACACAGCTTTTGAGAGCCGATCATGACCTTTCATGCAAAATTATCCAAAGGGACAAGTACAAAACATTTTCTCGTATGTTACCAGAACAAACGATTTTCATTTAATCAATGCAGTATTCATACGAAAAAACTGAGTGACCAAGACCACGCATGTTCGGAAACGAAAGAATACATTACAATACATTATAGCACTTCCAAAGTTGTATTCTGTCATGTGAGAAATTTGTAACTTTAGCAACCTGTTCATTTTCGATATGACACTAGCATGGAAAAAAAACCAGACAATCATTCGTATGATATTCTCATTGTGTGTACAAGGCTTTAGTCTGGTGATTCTGTTTTTTTCTGTACCAACTGTATTCCATCCTAAGTGGCCCCTGAAGGCTCATGTACTTGGACACAGAGGGGAGTACAGCGGAAAAAGACTATATTTCTGTGCCCGGGAGTCACACGTGTTGCATGCAGCCACCTGTACAAATCAATGACAAGATGTTGCTGAATGTCCAATCTGAACATATACATACGTACAGGTTTAGCTATCCCTGGACATAAAAGAAGTGTGCAAAGCAAAAGAATACTAGCAAGAAGTTGCAGTCTTGTTTACAAGCACTTAGAAAGTCCTGCTTGATCTGATTGAAAGACATTAAGGCTCGTTCACACTTGACTGTTTTACCAACGCTTGCCAAACGCCCTATAGCATTTGGCAAGCGTTGGTCCAGCGTTTGTGGAGCGTTTTTAACGTTTTGACAAACACTCTGCAAATGCTGCATGCGCGGTTTAGTGGCGGTTGCTAGGCGTTTGCCGAGCGTTAAAAACGCCCCACAAACGCCTATAATGAAGTTTAAATGATGTTACCCAGCTCCGCAAACGCATCGCAACCGCGCCGTAAACGCCGGCCAGGTGTTTGTGGAGCGACACCATAGACTAGAATAGGAGGCTTCAACGCCTCCTGACTAGACCAGAGGCGTCCGTTTTGCCATGACGCTAACGCTCCCGTTAGAACAGCACTATGTGCAGAATTGTCCAAGGCATTTGGGAAACGGTAAAAACGCTTCCCAAACGCCTCTCTGCGGCCTGCACAAAAACGCTAGTGTGAACGTAGCCTGAGCAAGACTCAGACTAATGCTCGTACACACGATAAGAAAATCATCAGAAAAATTTTGCGGAACCACTGATCAAATTATTTTTCTCTTCATTGATGAGCAGGATGTTTTAACCAATAACAATATTGTTAATGAAAAAATCAGGTTGAACAACAGTGAAAAAATGTTGTCGTTTTGCATACGAATGAAGGATTTCTATGCGGTGGTATGACGATTGTATGGAAAAAATCTATCAAGCGCTATCACGCACGAGTGGAAACAGAAGATGACCCGGATGTTTATGGAATCTTTGTAAACACGAACGAAAAATCCAAATGTTAAAAAGTAGATTGGCCTAATGAGATCATGAAACCAGAATTCTGCAGATTATATTTTTATGTATCACTATTTATGTATATAGGTCATGTAATAAACTATATAATAGCCATTGCTGGTCATTGTTGTGTTATATCGCTCGTTCTGGCCGGAAGGGCGTGGCTACAAGGTCACACGCACACTGCATCACTTCCACTTGTATGGAAGACATCAACACTACGTATTGCCCGACAAACATTTTTTTTAGATTGGTTAATGTGGCCACGATTCCGACCAACGAACGAATGCTGGATGACCAATCGGTCGATTTTCTAATCGTGTTTTCCCACCTTAAGGCCCCCTTTGACATGGGGCAGACTCTACTTGCTCAGCAGGGAATTTGTCCGCTGAAACCCCCACAGAGCATAGAGGGCAGATAAGAGAAGTCCGTGTCCTCTCCGCTTAAGCTGACCATACATGGGTTGAATTCTGAATTAAATTTCTTTCGAAAATCATTTCTAAGAATTTTCATTCTAATTTTGCACCACTAGTGATTCGCACAGAAATGGACGATTTTTGAGTGATCAGTCATGTTGGAAATTTTAGAAAAAGGAACACATTTCTAATCAACGATGGGAGAATCGTGCCAAAAATGTAATTGAAAAAGAAACGGGCATGAGCTGTGACCTGGAAAGAAAAAAAAGTTCTTAACCATGAAAATTATTTCCTGTAGCATCATAAAGTGAAATAAAAAGGCTTGGTTGGTCGGGTCGAATTTCGAAATCAATGGTGGCAACCATCAGATTAAAAAATGCATGAAATTTACAATTTTCTAAAGAACATTTGCTTGGAATTCGACCCATGTATGGCCTGCATTATGCAGAGTGGACACGGGCACAGCCCACTCTCCTCTATGGGCATCAGATGTAAACAGACAGCTGTCCCAATTACACCAAATTGCCCCCTGATTCCCCCAGACAGAGAGGAATGGATTTCCTTCCGTTTGTTTTTAGTGGATTGGATTGGAGCTATTCGGATGTAAATAGACACAAGTCCGTTATACCCACTTCTCCATAGGGGATAATGGAGGGTCCTATCAGGTCCCGATTGGACCCTTCACTCATGTGAAAGGGGCCTAAATGTTAATTGAGTTGACTTTGTGGCAGTTGCAGTGTTTTTAGACTGTCTAAAGGAAGACAGTCCAATTTGAAAATCTAATTAGCTGCTTTGGGGGCACAAAGGCAGTATTTCCTTCAGACAATAGCTGGTGAGAGGGAAGTATACCCTGGGTACAACCAGCCACAGGGAACATAGCTGGGAAGTGGAATTTTGCTTGGGGGTGGCTGAATTGATGTTTGGACAGTACTTGTTGAGTTCCCTGTATATTGTCATATTTGTCTGTCTCTTGCAAACATATTGTCAAGTTTGATCATTTGTTGCCTACATCTCTTCACAGTTTGCTGCCTATTTATTATAATGATTGCCAATTTGTTGCCAGAGTATTGTATCTATTGAATACTTAGTAACGGATTGCGTCCATAGGGCCAGTCATCTGTCTCTAACCGCAAGGTAACCTCTGGATGTACGGATACATGTGAACAGCAGCTGATGGCCATATGGCACCTGATATATATATATATACAGTGGGCAAAAAAAGTATTTAGTCAGCCACCAATTGTGCAAGTTCTCCCCTCCCACTTAAAAAGATGAGAGAGGCCTGTAATTGGCATCATAGGTAGACCTCAACTATGAGAGACAAAATGAAAAGAAATTCAGACAATCACATTGGCTGATTTGGAAAGAATTTATTTGCAAATTATGGTGGAAAATAAGTATTTGGTCAATATCAAAAGTTCATCTCAATACTTTGTTATATATCCTTTGTTGGCAATGACAGAGGTCAAACATTTCCTGTAAGTCTTCACAAGGTTGGCACACACTGTTGCTGGTATGTTGGCCCATTCCTCCATGCAGATCTCCTCTAGAGCAGTGATGTTTTGGGGCTGTCGCTGGGCAACACACGGACTTTCAACTCCCTCCAAAGGTTTTCTATGGGGTTGAGATCTGGAGACTGGCTAGCCCACTCCAGGACCTTGAAATGCTTCTTACGAAGCCACTCCTTCACTGCCCGGGCGGTATGTTTGGGATCATTGTCATGTTGGAAGACCCAGCCACATTTCATCTACAATGCCCTTGCTGATGGAAGGAGGTTTGCACTCAAAATCTCACGATACATGGCCCCATTCATTCTGTACATGGATCAGTCGTCCTGGTCCCTTTGTGAGAAAACAGCCCCAAAGCATGATGTTGCCACCCCCATGCTTCACAGTAGGTATGGTGTTCTTTGGATGCAACTCAGCATTCTCTCTCCTCCAAACACAACGAGTTGTGTTTCTACCAAACAGTTCTATTTTGGTTTCATCTGACCATATGACATTCTCCCAATCCTCTTCTGGATCATCCAAATGCTCTCTAGCAAACTTCAGACGGGCCGGGACATGTACTGGCTTAAGCAGGGGGACACGTCTGGCACTGCAGGATCTGAGTCCCTGGCGGCGTAGTGTGTTACTGATGGTAGCCTTTGTTACGTTGGTCCCAGCTCTCTGCAGGTCATTCACTAGGTCCCCCCGTGTGGTCCTGGGATTTTTGCTCACCGTTCTTGTGATCATTTTGACCCCACGGGGTGAGATCTTGCGTGGAGCCCCAGATCGAGGGAGATTATCAGTGGTCTTGTATGTCTTCCATTTTCTAATAATTGCTCCCACAGTTGATTTGTTCACACCAAGCTGCTTGGCTATTGCAGATTCAGTCTTCCCAGCCTGTGCAGGTCTACAATTTTGTTTCTGGTGTCCTTCGACAGCTCTTTGGTCTTCACCATAGTGGAGTTTGGAGTGTGACTTTTTGAGGTTGTGGACAGGTGTCTTTTATACTGATAACAAGTTCAAACAGGTGCCATTGATATAGGTAATGAGTGCAGGACAGAGGAGCCTCTTAAAGAAGAAGGTACAGGTCTGTGATAGCCAGAAATCTTGCTTGTTTGTAGGTGACCAAATACTTATTTTCCTCCATAATTTGCAAATAAATTCTTTCAAAATCAGCCAATGTGATTGTCTGGATTGATTTTTTTCTCATTTTGTCTCTCATAGTTGAGTTCTACCTATGATGCCAATTACAGGCCTCTCTCATCTTTTTAAGTGGGAGAACTTGCACAATTGGTGGCTGACTAAATTTTTTTTGCCCCACTGTATGATATAAAACAATTGTGATTCCCTAAATATGCCACACTACTTCAAATATAAATTTTGAAGTGAACTAATTAACCTAACACATAATAGCATTCAAACAAGTGAAATAAGTGAAATATGACATAATTCAAGTGCAGCCAAAAAAATCCAAAGAGCTTCCTTATGCAGGCCATAGATGGGGGAGAAAACCGGCTGTTTTTTTAATAAAAAAACGAAAAATCGGTTGTTCAATAGGCCGACGTTACCACCAACAGTAAAAAAAATCGGTCGATTTTCTTCCCGTCTACGGCCAGCATTTAATTACTTCTGTCCCTGCAGAGAACCCCACTATTATATTTGACATTAAAAAGTATTGCGGTTGCAACATTGTATCTATTTGTATCCATTTCGGATACAGATGGGCCCAATTTGGACATTTTTACTTAGGGGTGTACTCACTTTTGTTGCCAGCGTTTTAGACATTAATGGCTGTGTGTTGAGTTATTTTGAGGGGACAGCAAATTTACACTGTTATACAAGCTGTACACTCACTACTTTACATTGTAGCAAAGTGTCATATCTTCAGTGTTGTCACATGAAAAGATAGAATAAAATATTTACAAAAATGTGAGGGGTGTACTCACTTCTGTGAGATACTGTAAGTATACACAAAGGCCACTTTTGGTACATACATGTAAGCCAATTGACCCACCAGTAGATTTTTGGATTGCGTGTGGCAAACCCAAGTACCATTAAATGAGCACATTAACACGTAAGTTACTGTATAGTGTGAACCACTCAAAATACCGCTCAATGCTTTTATGTATAGCCAGCTCTAATCACAGCTCTGTATACAGTGAGGAACAGAAGT